GTGACTGCAGTTCAATTACTCACTATCCACCCACACATTACATTCCCCTCATTTATATACCAGCGTACCCTATTTCTAGTAAGAACTTGAACATTCGCCAAAGTACATGATAGTTCTAGAAACGTTGCGTCACGGTGGTCATGTGACTCGCTGACGCAACAATGTATTATAAACTGTTTAAAGTAAGTTATACATATTAAGTTGTGTATTAGATAAGATTTACTAGCTAGGGAACTAGAGTTTATAACTACAGGCCAACATCAAGTTTCTAACTATATGATTAAATATTTCTCTTTATTTCAGTCCCAAAGGAATATATATTTTAAATAACTATAGTAATGATATTGATACCCATATTATAATATGGATATACATGTTGTTGTTTTGTTTAACCACAGCACGTTGCATGCAGAATAAAGCTGCATATTTTGCAGAGAAACTTCACAAAAGTATGCAAGTAAGTTCATTTCTTCATCAACTTTTATAATTATTGCAGTAAAGTGAAAGAATATTAATTAAAAGATTGAGGTGGGTACATTAGTTTGTGATCAGAGCTTGAACCCAAAACTCCCAAATCAAAGTTTTCAAATAAATGCCTTACGTGCTGACATACCATTACTTGAAACCAAACTTGACCATTACAGTATAAAGAATCTGTTAATGAAGTACTAAGAATGAATATAAAGTAATATGAAAAATACATATTTTCACTGTTTGGTTGCAGTGTGAATAGATAATCTCTCAGAAACTTTAGGATTAAAAAATGTATAACATAGTTTGTGTAAGCCAAGGGCAATTCCATGGGAAGTAGAAATATCACTTGAACCCTAATGAGACTTGAGCTGAAGTCCAGTCACACTTTTACATTACAGCTTCATATTTAGTGGAGTTTTTGTTTAGTTCTGTCTTGTAACTGGTAGACTAATATTCTGTTTGGTAATTTGCCTTTGTAATGACAAATTGACTGTGATTATGTCACTGCTTTTGAAAATGTTAATTAATGATACTCGACTGAATATTGTTTACTTCATAACCAGCATGTGAGTTTTTTGTTTGGATAGGCTATTCTGTAATGAGTGGGTGGGAAGGCTCCACAATTGAAAGAATCAGTTTGTGCTCCTCAGTGAAACTCACACACACATGCATCCTACTATGCTCTCTCTCTTCACATATATTGCACAATGTTTTTGAGTTGGTGAGAATATTTGGGGAAAATGTTTATATGTCTATGCATGTTGGGGGGGAGCAGTAAAAAATGAACTATCTCTCTTCACCTACTTGGGGAGGTTAAGCCTTTTCAAGCCTCTCATACATGCCACCCCTGGTTTGATTCTTAAAAACTCTGTATCATTAAGCTTTAATTAATTATTTGTTTACTGATTATTAAATGATGAATTCCCCATTTTATTCTAAATATGCCCATAGTGTAATCATCCTGTAATGACATTGATATTACTTATGTTTGTTTTCTTGATAATAAATTTGATTTTAATGGTAGGTGTTTTGTTTGTTGATAGCCCAAGCTACACAATGGGTGATCTGTGCTGTGCCCACTATGAATATCAAAACCTAGGTTTTAGCAGTGTGAGTCCATAAAGTTACTGCTGAGCCACTAGGAGGTTTATTGATAGCTTAGGAGTATAGAAGGAATCATTATAGATCTAAAATTGTGTACCTGTTTTCTCATAACTTTTTTATTGTTGTGTATCTATATCAAAAGAATAACCTCTAGAAATAATTATGATTGTTTGCATACCCATAAACACACACACACACACACTTTCTTTTTTCCTTTCCTGCATATCATCTTTTTATTTTTCATACACTGATATATATATATATCATACTTTCCTCCCCTCTGTTTTTACCATTGTAACATCTCCACTATACCATCTCACTCTCTAAGGTGTGGAATCATGGTTAAATGAGTAGCTTAGAAGAGAATTTCATGAAGCACCAATTTGTAAAGAGATTTTCAAGTTTATTAACTTTAACTGGGTTAATGATTTCAATGGTTAACATTGTTAATTATATAATTGCAAGTTCCTTGTATAGATTTTTCATGTATGGTAAGATCATGATTTACAGAAATATATATATAATATACTATATAATATATTTTCACTCACCCACATAGATATGCTTATTTATCAACTAATGTAAGGTAACTGAATTCATCTTTTAACTATATGGGTCACTATACTCCAAAAATATGCTGAAGGGAATCTTAAAAATATTTTATTTCAACTTATGTAATAACACTTCCACTACAATCTATGAATTTTACATTCATATTAAATTAATAAATGCTACAAGTATGAATAATAATCTCTGACAAAAGTTAGACAATTTATAAGATGTTAAATAGTAAAGTATTATTGTAGCACATATTTTCATACATTAATTGTAACATGTTAATGTATTTATCTGCAATTTTTGTAACTGCATAATATGATTTTATTGATATGATGTGCTGCAGGGTATGGGAACTGATGATTGTGCACTAATTCGACTTGTCACAAGTCGCTGTGAAATTGATATGGTACAGATCAAGCAGGAGTATCAACAGTTGTTTGGAAAACCTTTGGAGAAAGCCATTTCAGTAAGTGTGGCCTTATGATATGGGATCCTAAGTGCATATATATGTACAGAATATGTAAAACTGATTACTTTGCTTGTGAATGTAGGTGGGAAATAATCTGTGCTTTGACTCTTTTCAGGATTTAATAAACTGTTTGAGTGTTTACTCAGGAAGTAATTTGTTCTTGGTTAGTTTAGCTAAGAAATAATTCATGTTACACATATGTAATGTCAATTCACTTGGAGGCAATTTTTAATGTAAAAACTTAATAATGTTCTGTCTGTACACTCAAGAAATAATTATATTTTTTGTCTATTCAAAGTTCTGCATGTTAAACAGACATAGTATTATTTCTGTGAATAACTAAATACAGCAATTACCATATTCTGAGTAAACAGACAGAACTCTAAATTAATATACAAGTAATCAGGCCAAGAATAATTTTCAAATAAGCATAAAGAGCATTGAATATTTTCTATATTAAATGACCATGCTTTCTTGTAACGCAGGATTTTAATTTTGCTGTTGGTATTACATTTTGTTGCATTTGTTCATCATCTCTTTTTATTTTTGAATTAGTTCTTAATTCTTTTCCTAACATCTGCAGAAAGATACATCTATTGAGTGACCTTCCTTTATTCCAATTGTAGTCAAAATAAATTCACATTGTAAAAGCATTGAGGCAGCAAGCATAACTAAGTTGTTGTAGAAAATAGCAACTGGCCATCTGTTTATCTTTCTTCTAGTTGAGAAGTCTCTTAGCATTTGGTAAGCAGTATCCACTTTTGATACTTTTGTAATTTAGGATCACCACTGGCTTTTTGGCTGCTGGAACAACTAGTCAGAGGAATCAAAGCAAGTCAAGGAATATGAAACTAATATTATACAGAAGGATTGTGCATATAAACAATTAAAAAAAATTATTCTATGTGCACAAATTTAAATTATAATATTCTTCTCTTGATGTTAAGGATAAATGTTGGTATCTTCAGATTGTCAGTCAAGTCCAGTTTTACAGTCATACACCATGATTTGTTTTAGTACTACTCATTACCTAGCCAATCAAAATCAATTGAAACATGCTTTATGTCTATTAGTTTGGTTTGTTCTGAATTTCACACAAAGCTACATGATGGCTGTCTATGCTACTTGTCCTTAATTTAGCAGTGATAGACTAGAGGGAAGGTAGCTGGTGAACACCACCCACTACCAACTCTTACACCACTCTTTTATTAATGAATAGTGGGATTGATTGTTATGTTATAATGCCCCCACAGCTGAATGGGCAAGCTTGTTTGGTGACTGGGATTGAAAGCATGACCTGTAGATTGTGAGTCAAATGCCCTAACCACCAAGCCATTCCAGGCCCTTTATTTCTGATGTTCCAAAACAGATACACTTAAATAACTCTCTACCAAATTCTACCAGCTGTATGCTGAGGAGAATTAAGTCGACTTTTAAAGAGTAATTAGTCAACTACGAAAAAAAGTCGGTAATTATTTTAGCACTAATCTATTGTCAATTTCTAGCTGGTTATGACTAATATTTAGCAACACAACTACTTTTCCTTCTTTGTATATTATGAAGTAAAGATAGCAAATTTAGTTCAAAGCTTAGCTCGTCCTTTTCAGAGACCAAGTCAGATTGCAGTTTGCTTTGTTTTTTTCTTATTCTGGTGTGGTTGTGGTTAAACATGTCATTTTTTGTGGTGAATTTTGTGGTAAAGAAATTAGTTATCCCAATTTACATTAAGTCCATCATTTTCTAACCCATGGATATCGTGTCCAGTACAACCCTCTCTCCTTAATTTTAGTCTCTTTTTACTGTCTTTCTCCTCTTTCTGTGTACATTTGTGTTATAAACATAGGATATGTCACAATAAAAAGACAAAAAAACAATTTTGATGCCATATTTTCCAGGTTTATTTATAATTGTATATTGTTGGAAGGTGTAATTGCCATAGAACGTGACTAGTAACTCAAGAATGGTCAGAATTTTAATGTTAAATAACACTGAAACATCTTAGCCCATTTATTTAAGGTGGATGCTATTATATAGGATCAAGTTTTTCCTTTGCATTTTTCTTTGTTTCTCAACCAACATTATCAAATTGAAAGCATCTTGAAATCTGAAATTTTTTTACATCGCCATACTGTTTATGAAAAAAATTGGTCCACAATTATCCCATTTTCAAAGCTGTTTGATTACTATATTTGTTCTTTGACTTAGAAACATTAGCTAGCAACATCACACCAAGGACACATTGCAGTTCACTAGAATATAAATGCTTTTTTTTTGTTTCAATACAGCTTTTATTTCCTTGTGAGAGTCTAGCTTAGTCTGGTGGTTAGGATGTCTGACTCACAATCTGTGGGATCTAAACCCATTTATCAAACATGCTTGCCCTTTCAGTCAAGGGGCAATATATGTGATGGTCAATCCCACTATTTCTTGTAAAGAATGGTCCAGAAGTTGGTGGTAATAGTAAGTGGAGTTGACTAGCTGCCTTTCACTAGTCTATCATTTCAAAATCAGGGACAGCTAATGCATGTAGCAAATGGGAAGCCGTGTGTGAAACTCAACAAAATCAAACGTTCTTTCTTTTTTACCTATTTAAGTTTTTGCTCTATAATGCTCTACTTCATAAATAAATAGAACATCTAGTTGGGCCTGATCTTTCTTTGCAAACATTTGTAGGTGATTTTCTCCAGTTTCACTGCTTTAAATACACTTCCAGCTCTTCACCAGTATCACCATAAGTTTCATTATCTGTCTCACTTTCATCTGAGCTTTACTAGCATTGTCATAAACAAATAAATTATTTTCTTCACTAGTACCACTTAATATCATATAGTCATCACTATTAAGTTCTTAGTCATTTCCCAAATTCTAAACAACATTTTTAGACACCATACTTTAACTTGACCATGGAACTCATCTTACTCAATACAAAATTATTAGAGAAGAGATGTAAATATAAGTTGAAAATGTTATGGATTTCACACTAGAACTGTAAGGCTTTTATAATTGTGAAAGATGACTTGGTATATATGATGCAATAAAAAGATGACTCAATATGATGCAGTAGGTTACTGCTTGTTGTATCATATTGTGTAATTTTGTGTTTCTTTCCTGTTACAAAACTCATTGAAAGAATTGATGATCACAAAAATTTAAAAAATCACTCATTTTCTTCTTGAAATGCATAAGAAACTCTAGAAATAATTTGAGTAATTAGTTCCAATATTCATGGTGTCTAATTTGTTTTTTTATGTGTCTTGTATGTTACTATGGGCTCTGTAGCCTGGGTTGCCCACCTTACAATGTTGATTTTTACTGATGTACATATAACAACTTTTCTTTTTAGTTACATTGTGTTTTTTTAACTGACATCATTAAATGAAAACACTTTTTACTATTTATGAGTTTATTAAGAGTGTTCAAATTGACTTTTCTTTTTACTGACTATCCATAAATTTGTGGATGGTTGGCAAATCTACTTGTAACTGTCAAGCCATGGACCCACAAATATTTTGATGTATGATTTGGATATATGTATGCTAATGTAAGCAAAGAAATAAAGATTAAGTTTAATACAAAAATGTTTTGGGGTTTTATTAACTACTGGGTCCTATAATAGAGAAACTGTGTTGATAAAATAAATAAATGAAATATGTATTAGACTGGCCTCTACATTAGGAAATTTACCAGTCATCTTAGGTAAACTAAGAAGCTATGAGACATTTGCTTGAATTTTCTCTTCTGTTGGAAATGGTTCATCAGTGCAGTAAAGTGCTACCAATGAAGTGGTCAATGGTGCAGTTTGGTGCATTTTCTTGATCAGTGTAATACTAAATTTGATCTGCATTCAGCTGGTTAATCAACCACAACACATTATGAAAAGTTTCTAATATGAGCAAAACATGATATTTTTTTTATTAATGTGAGCACATGAATAGAGTCAGATGCATCAGTCTCATTCTGAATGGGTGAGTGTTAGTGACACTGGTATTAAGTAAATGCTCTTTCAACAAAATGCCTGCATCTGAAATGCCAGAGTTTCCCATTAACTCTAAGGAATGGTCAAGTATAGCATCCTTGTATATCTTAAATGGCCACAACTCTAAGGAATGGTCAAGTATAGCATCCTTGTATATCTTAAATGGCCACAACTCTAAGAAATGGTCAAGTATAGCATCCTTGTATATCTTAAATGGCCACACCTCCACATCTAACACTCGATTTTGACAAATTGGCAGTGTTGTTAGTAGTTCAAACTTAATTTGGCAGTATGATGTTATCAGTGCAAACTTTCAAGTTTATTATTATACTAGCTGAGTTACCCGGCATTGCACAGTGAAAATTTAGATTTGAAATGTATAGATCAGTATTTTTTCAGCAAATTATTCAGTAAGTAGACAAAAGCTGTGATGCGAGAAATAAAAAAGCATTTAATCAAATAAAGCTTTATTTGAAATTAGATCATGTTTAAGCTTGTCTTGTTCTTTGAGTCTGAAATTGTACATCATGTTGTTCCTCTGTTTCTCGCTCTCTGTAAGTTATTTGTCTTAATTTTTGTGCTTGAAGTCTGGTTTGATGTTTTTCAGAATTTTCTTGTTGTCTATATCCAGCTTGCCTTGATGATTCTGACTGAACTCTGGCTTTGTGCTGTTCAACAGTTTCTTGCTGTCTTTGAGTAGCCTGCCTTTCAGCTTGAGCTTGAAGTCTAACTTTACGTTGTTCCAAAGTCTCTTCCTGTATTTGAGCAGCCTGTCTTGCAGCTTGTGCTTGAAGTCTTTGATTGTGTTCTTCTTCTGTTTCAGCTGGTCTTTGTGCTTGCATTCTTTTACATGTGGAGGATATGTTTTATATATACAGTTGAATAACCAAAACATAATAAATTACTATATTAATACCATAGAGTAAGCAGAATCTCAACATCACATAGAACTGGCTCACAAGTTTGCTATGCCAACTCATTGCTTCATCAATATAAAACACAGGCTTCAACCTCTCTTGCACTCACAGAAATTTCTACCATTAATGCTGTGGGTATTTGGGCCATGAATTATCTAAGATTTGTTTTCCTGCTACTGCAGTCAAGGAAACTGGATAAGTCCATTTTGTGCTGCTTCTTTAAACGTTTGATGCAGGTAAACTTCTGGAGTGACTGGACTCTGGGACAAGCAGTGTGCCAGACAACCACACGATTAAGTACTTAGATGAGGAATACCTCAATAATTAGGACATGGGTGTTGCTGAGTTGTGCTGATATAGTGACCCAGTAGAAAACTGTGCTATCTATCAGGTTATGTTCAAGGCTGTTATTGTGTCATAATTATTTTATGTATTAACTCTTTAAGCACAGGCTTGGTCCTTGAAACCGATCTCGGAACCATTTTGTGCTTATTATAGTTTTCATGCTATAACTTTTAAATTAGTAAGCATATGTTAATGAAATTTGGCAGATTATCAGTAAACATTGTAATGCTTTCATATGCAAAATATAAAAATATTTTTTTAGTAAGTCTTAAGGTTTGTAAAGCAATGTTTTTCCCATTCCTTTTTTTTCTTTTCGCATCTTGCCTGTCCAACATGCAAAGTAATTTTCATTTTAAGATAAAAAATGCTTTTCTCGTCAGAAAATTT